GGAAGGAAGGAAGCAAGGAAGGAAGGAAGGAAGGAAATTCCCTTTAAATGCACCATCCTCCCCAGCTTTGTTCCTAATACCCTGAGATGGGGAGATTCCTCCCCAGCCCCCCAACCCAAGAAGTTAGGAAAGATGGTGGGGGTGAGATGACCTAGCTGTGCTAACCAGTAATTGGAAAATCTCCTCTAGCAAGAAAAGTAGGGGAACAGAGTTAAGGGCTGGGTTAATGGTTACCCCTGGCAAATTTGTTGAGCAATGGAGCCATAGAAACTTGGAGGAGGTTGGTGACAGCTCTGGGGAGTGTCAGGGAGGGACCCACCTTCCAATCGGGGGTGTGAAGAGATTAGGAACTGGTTTACCAAGCCCAGGAAGGGGAGGGAGTGGAAAGAGAAGCCCGGAGAGGGAAAGAGGAGCTACTGAGATAGGAGAAATGCAGGGGCAAGGAGGTGAGATGGAGGGAAACCTCTGATGCAGGATTTGGGGGTACAGCCCTGGCTCTGCTGAATGGTTTCAGGAGAGGGCAGTGTTGCCTGTCACCTGGTAAATTAAGGCACAATACCCGGTGGGTAGTCATGCCAGCCAGCCAAAGTCATTATTGATATCAAGGCAGCTGTAGCTATAAAGCGGTAGGAGAGAAAAGAGAGGCAGGGGAGAGGCTGCCAAACCTGTCTGATCTTCAAGCTGGCCCCATTTTCTTAAGGCTTCTCTTGGACACAGACCAGTTGGAACAGGAGAGGACCCTGAGAAGTAGAGTTGCTTTGATCCCCTCCCCTCAGTGGGAAGGGGTCCTGTGTGCAGATTTTGAGGGTCACCATAGAGGGAATTCACACACATATAGTCATGGAATCATATCCTTATAGGATGTTACAGTTCAAGGGAACAAACACCAAAGATAGCCTTTCTGTCGGGAGGAGAGAAAAAGGCCCTCCCACAGGCAAGATAAAACCCACAGAAGAGGAAGCACAAGAGGAAACCACCAACTGCTGGTTTCCAGCAGCACATCACGTCATTCCACCCCACTCCTCCCCCAAGTCTCTCCCTTTCTTTAAGTTTCAAGCCCTGTTTTGCTTCTGTGTTCTTGCACTCCACCATGGTTTTCTGGAACTGAAAACCAGGTCTTTTGTTGGACAGAGGGTGAAGAGCAGGATAAAAAAGGGATGGTTGGACAGGAGAGAAATTCAGGATATGGAGGCTGGAATTCCGGGTTTATTTTTTCAGCAGGTCATAAAAGGTTTAATAGAAATCAAGGTTACTGGGTAGAGAGCTGCTCCTCCTGTGTCCTCCCCACTTATTTATTTAGGTGTCCCCAAGGACTCCACTCCCACTATTCTGTCTGATCTTTCTTTATGCCCATGACAGGACCAGCTAACAACACCCCTGCCCCACCCCCTATACACATACTTCAGGATGGGGCAGCTCTGTCTCAGGGCCATGATAATCCCACCCCTCTGCCCCATCTCCAAGGCAACCTGTCAGTGAGAAGAGGACAAAGGGCACAGGAAGGGGCCCCAATAGGAAGCATAAGTGGAAGCACAAAGCTGACCAAGCTACAGGAACAGACCTCTCCCTCCCTGCGACAAAGCCCCTTGCCTCAGCTTTTTGTTTCCTTTGCAAAAGACTTGGTCATCTCCCTTCCTATCCCTAACTCTATTTGCTTTTTCTTTTCTTTCTTTTTTTTTTTTTTTTAGACGGAGTTTCGCTCTTATTGCCCAGGCTGGAGTGCAATGGCACCACCTCGGCTCACTGCAACCTTCACCTCCTGGGTTCAAGTGATTCTCCCGCCTCCGCCTTCTCGAGTAGCTGGGATTACAGGCACTCACCACCACGCCTGACAAGTTTTTGTATTTTTAGTAGAGATGGGGTTTCACCATGTTGGCCAGGCTGGTCTCAAACTCCCTGACATTAGGTGATCCACCCCCTTCGGCCTCCTAAAGTGCTGGGATTACAGGTGTGAGCCACCTCGCCCGGCCGCTAACTCTACTTTCTATACCCAATCCCAAGTCTAGGCCACAAGGACTGCAAATCTTAGTGCTGAGCTGGGCCTGCAGACAGTAGACTGTGGGGGGCACAGGACCTACTGAGACACCAGTCTGGGCAGCTCAGGAAGTGCTGGCGTCACCCCTTCCCTAATCCCAGGCTGCATGGCTAACGGTTCCTATCTGCAGTCCCAGCCTTCCACTTCCGAGTTCTTCTCTCAGACCACAGTCCCAGCAACCCAGAATTTGGATTGGAGTCTGGAAGAAATGCAGAAGGATTAAACGACCACCTTTCCATTCAAAGGCCGCATCCCTGGATCTTCACGGGTGTGCCTAAGCTGCTAGTATCAAGTTTTTTATATGAGGGTCAGTTGGGTTGTACTCAGGTTAATGAAGCAGGGAAACTGAGGCAGAAAAGAGTCTTGTGTTCAGGAGAAGTCGGACAAACAAGGAGGTTTTCAGGACTCCTCCTTAACACCCCCATCCCCATCCTGTGGGAGATCCGAGGATTCCCCTGCCGGACCCACTCCCTACATCGTCGAGTCCCGCCCCCCTCCAGTCCCCTCCCCAGGTTCAGGGCGGGGCCGGTCGGTGAGTCAGCGGCTCTCTGATCCAGCCCGGGAGGGGACCGAGCTGGAGGAGCTGGGTGTGGGGTGCGTTGGGCTGGTGGGGAGGCCGAGTTTGGGAGCAAATAGGGTCTGATTGAGCTTGTGTTGCACTGAAGGGACAGCCCTGGGTCTAGGGGAGAGAATCCCTGAGTGTGAGACCCGCCTTCCCTGGCCCCAGCCCCTCCCAGTTCCCCCAGCGACGGCCACTTCCTGGTCCCCGACGCAACCATGGCTGAAGAACAACCGCAGGTCGAATTGTTCGTGAAGGTAAGAACGCTTCTCTCAGCCACCCAAATTCCTGGAAGCCAACTCCCACGTTTCCCTCGGTCCAGCCTTAACTCCCTAATCCCTTCCCTCCTTGGCTCCCACCCCCAATCCCACATGCCCTCTTTGGTTGAGGGGTGGTTTTGAGAGGGGAAGACATTAACTTGTTAGCAAGTAATGAGAGTTCTAGGATCAACCCTGAAAAGTTTGTAAAAGTGCAAGTTTCTAGCAGCCTAAAAGAAGGGAAGTAGAGAAAAAGGAGAATTCCCAAAAGTGAGAGTGGGGTGGGGTAGGGAGCGAGCTGGTGAAGGGACAGTGGGGGCCCAGCAGGGTTTAGAAGGGACAGAGGGGAACCTCAGTTAGGACATGTGTCCCTACAAGATCTGAGGGTGAGTAGTGTAGTAGGGAAGGGGTGTGTGTGTGTGTGGCTGGAGACATTTCAGGGAAGAGTGTGTGTTGAGAGAGGCCTGAGAGTGAGAGCAAGTAAATTGGGAAGCTTTGAGGGGGTGGAACAAAACAGGAGACTGGGATCAGAGTTCGAAAAGCAGAACTGGAGAGGTGATGGGGTGGCATCGAATATCCACAGGACTGGGGAAAGGGAGAGAAGGGGAGGTGGCAAGAAGACGTGAGTAGCTACCACAAGGATGGGTGGGAGAGAGATCACATAGAGGAAGAGAACTCGGTTAGGGCATTTTGGGATTTGGGGGTTGGAGAAGTAGAAGACTTGCCCCAACTCTCTCCTCTCTCTGCGGGTGTGGGTGAGGAGAGATGGTCCTATGGCATTTGGGTAGCAAAACTGCAGGCAGCAGGCTTCTCGGTGTTGCCCAGCTCCCCTCTGATTCCAGCGGCCGGTCCCCTCCCTACCGCTGCTGCATTCTTTCCCCAGTCTGGGGACCTCCTGTCTATGCCCCTCTCTCCCTTCTGTAACAGCGTCCTCTTCTCTCTGCTCTGTTTGTGTCTCTCTGTTGGCATGCATCTCTCTGTTGGTCTCCCCACCCTCCACTTTCCTGCCGCCTTTCTTTCCCCTTCCCCGCTTTTGTTTCTCTCATCTTTGTGTGTCTCTGCCTGTGTCTCCCTCTCCCTTCTGCTTGGGTTTCTCGGGCAGCCATTCCCTCTCCCTGGGCTGGGGGAAGTCAGAGTGTGCTTGGGTCCACCCCCTTAGGTGTGGTCCCCACCTCACACTCACATTCGCCTCTGGGGCTATTTTTACTCCTGGGTGAGGCTGTGCCGCAGAGATTCCGGCCCTGTGTCCTGTGAGAGGATAGTTATTGCAGTCAGAGGACTTGTGCTGGGAGACCCTGGCAGCGGGTTAGGGGGTAGCCTTAGCTGCCCAGGCCTCATCCTCATGGTCCCTTCCCCCACATCCTTGACAGGAAGGAAGCTGGAGACAGAGAGATGAATCACCCTCAGCTTAGGGGGAGGTGTCCCTTGGGCCAATGAGGTCACTACTTGCTAATTAGAGGGCAGCCCCTCTCTATAGGGCCCTCCATATCTCTAGGGCAAGGCCCAGGGCCCCTTGACTAGACTCCCTACCCAGCTGCCAAAGACAGCTTGGGTTGGAGGTTTAGAGAACCAAAGCTCTGGCTCCCAGACCCCACCCCACCTCTCCTGTCTTCAGACTCTACTGCCTTCAGGAACCCAGAAATCCAGGCTTCTAGCCTACAACTCTGGCCTCACTGAAGTTCCACACCCTTCCCTCTCTAGGATTCAGATCCTTCCAAGTTCTCCAGGACCTCCTCCCTTTACTTACCTCCCACCTGTCCTCAGTCTCTGGGGAACCAGAAGCCTGCCTTTGCAAAAAAAATTTCCCATTGATCTGCCTTAGGTTTGACCCAGGCCCAAGGGCGAAGAGCCCATAGTGAGGGGACAGTGTATGTGTCATGACTAGGCAGAAAACAGCTGGTCTGGGAGTGGGAATGCAGAGACTGGCCTAGGGATTGGTGGGGTGCACCAGGCATAACCTTGGGTTGGGGTTGCTTTTCAGGCTGGTAGTGATGGGGCCAAGATTGGGAACTGCCCGTTCTCCCAGAGACTGTTCATGGTACTGTGGCTCAAGGGAGTCACCTTCAATGTTACCACCGTTGACACCAAAAGGTAGGCCTGCTTCTGTTCCTTGAAACACCCCTTGTGTACACATGTGTGCAAACACACACTCACGCACCCGAGTCCTTCTGTCGTGAACATTTTTGCCCTCCTCCTG